GCATCCAGGAAAAACCTACAGTTAAACCTATAACTAAAATTATATTCAATGGTGAAAGATAATATTTCCCCTCTGAAAAATCAGAACAAGGCAAAGAATGCCTGCTCTCTGCACTAATACGTAACATTGTACTGAAAGTCCTAGTCAGTGCAATAAAACAGTGAAATGAAATAAAAGTCATAAGATTGGGGAAGAAGTAAAGCTGTTTTTATTTGCAGACAACCTGATCATTAAGTAGAAAATCCTAAGGAATGCATAAAAAAAAGCTAAAATTAATTGAACTTATCAGAGTTGTAGGATACAGTCATTATAGAAAAGCAGTTTTTAAATAGATAAACAGTTTTTTAATTCATCCTCCTCCTCTACTTCCTCCTTGCATTCTTCATCTTCCTCTTCCACCTTTTTCTGGGCAACTATAGGAGGACCCTTTGTGTCATCAAACTTTCCTTAGACTTGTAATCAGCAACATCCTTCTCATGCTCCTCCTTCAGCTTTGCTGCCTTGGTGATTGATAATGGTTTGGCTCTGTGATCCCACCCAAATCTCACCTGGAATTGCAATCCTGATAATCCCCACGTGTCAAGGGTGGGACCAGGTGGAGGTAATGGAATCCTGGGGGTCGTTTCTCCCGTGCTGTTCTCGTGATAGTGAGTTCGCATGAGATCTGATGGTTTTATAAGCGTCTGGTGTTTCCCCTGCTGGCACTCCCACTCCATTTTGCCACGCTGTGAGGAAGGTGCTTGCTTCTCTTTCTTCTGCCAGGATTTTAAGTTTCCTGAGGCCTCCCCAGCAATGCAGAACCGTGAGTCAGTTAAACCTCCTTCCTTTATAAATTACCCAGTCTCAGGTATTTTTTCATAGCAGCGTGAGAATGGACTAATACAGTGAGGTAATGCTGCTTTTCACTGTCATTTAAGTTATTCCACATCTTACCCAGCTTTTTGGCCACATCTCTAATAGAGATGCCAGGCTTTGTGAATTTGATCTTGGAGCAGAATTCTGAATAAAGCAGGTAGAATCCACATGATGGCCTTTTGTGGACATTAGGATTCTTTTTCTTCTTGCCTCCCTTAGCTGGTCCATAATCCTTCGTTTCCCAGTCGTAATTTATCTGCCTTTGCCATTTCATCAGATTTACACTTCTCTTTCTCAGTCATTGTCTTCTGCTTCTCAGAGGACTTCTTGGAAAATTCTGTAAAACTGACAGGGACCACAGGTTTTTCTTCTTAGGTTCTTCTCTGTACATCTGCACAAAGAAAGTATAAGCAGAGATCTTGCCCTTTGGTTTCTTGGGGTCACCTTTAGCCATCCTGACTGTATGGTTTGCTAGTCTCTAGAAAAACAATATTATCTTTATATAATAACAATGAAAAGCTAGAAAAAAATATAAAGACTAACTTGTGTTTTGATAGTGTCAAAATGATGAAATGCTTAGTGATATATTTAATGAAAGGTGTGTAAGATCTGCCTACTGTAAAACTACAAGATATTGTTGAGGGAAGTTAAAATTGACCTAAACAAATGGAGACACACATCATAGTCATGGATTGGCAGACAGTATTAGAATGACAATTCTCTTCCAACTGATCTGTAAGTTCAATTCCAATCAAAATTCTAGCTGGCTCATTTGAAGGGGTTTGCAGACTGATTCTAAAATTCACATGGAAAGACAAATAACCTTAAATGGTCAAAACAATATTTAAAAAGACAAAGTAGCAATGAGCATGCCTGGTGCCCAGATCTTGTTCTCCATACCATTCTCTAATAAAAGAAACAGAAACTCTTGAATAAGTTGCTGATTCTAGAACTGGGGAAGGAAATAGATAGAATGAGACTGGGTCATCTTGTAGTGCCAGAAAGTAGGCAAAAAAAAAAAAAAAAAAAAAACAAACAACAAAAAACAACAACAACAACAAAAAAACAAAGCAAAATCACTTATAGGGATATGTCAACGGGGCACAGGAGCCAAGTGAATGAACTTTCACTAGCCAAAGCTGGACCAATTTGAGCAGCAAATTGTGTTGGATTATAACCCATAGTTTGTACCCAGATACAAAATACCTGCTCAGTTATTTTCAGAACTGTCAAGGTCATTTAAACACAAGGAAAATCTGAAAAAGAGTCACAGCCAAGAAGAGCCAAAGGAGACATGATAACTAAAAGTACTAATGGTTTTCTAGTTGGGATTTTGGAATGGATAAATGACATTAGCTAAAGACTAAGGGAATCTGAGTAAAGTTTGAGACTTGAGTTAATAATACCATATCACTACTGGTTTATTAATTGTAACAGATGTACAATGCTAATGTGAGAAGTTAAAATAGAAAAATCTGGGTACAAGGTATATGGTAACTTTGTGCTGTCTTCTCAATTTTTCTATTAATCTAAAACTGTTTTTAAAGTCTATTAAAAAACAAGATAAGATTGGAGGACATACCCCTACTTGATTCCAATATTTATTATAAAACTACAGTATTTGCCACTATAAATAAAATGTGCAATCTGCATGAGAGATATGCAGGTGAATGGAACGGAGCAGAGAATCCATATGTAGTCTCTCACTTCTAAGACCAATTGATTAGCAAAGGTGTCTAGGTAATTCAATGTGGAAAATATAGTGTTTCAGCAAATAGAGCTGGACCAACTACACGTCTCTGGGAAAAAAGTACCCTGAACTTCTATTTCACTTACCCTTCCCCAAAGTTTTCCTTCACTTAACTTCTACTCCACTTAACTTGAAATGTCCCATTGACCTAAAATAAGCACTAAATATACAAAACATCAAGATATGAAATGATGAGGGTGTATGATATCTACCTTTATGTGTGACACCTCAGCCAGACTTGATGATGGGCAGGACACTCGGTTCTTTTAATTCACTGACAAATTGAGTCCCCAAGTGACTGTGCTAGGCATGTGACATTTACCTCATTTTATAGATAAGGATACAGGCTTGGGTAAGTGGTGTGTTGCCTGTAGTTACACAGCTAGACACGGTTGGTGTCATTTCCCCTTGGTCCATCTGTGCAGCACCGTAGCTGCAGGGACAGTTCTGAGTAGGTTCAGACTTACCATCCTTCCGGAGGCATGTTCTGTACTTCTTCTCTTCACTCTGGGCACTACAGGAGCCTGTGTGTCTCTCATGCAAGTGCATTCCAGAAGTGTGGGGGAGTTTATGCTCCCTCAGTCAGTGACGGACTGGAGCTGGTGGATAAATGCCCTAAAGTCCTCTCCTTCAGACAGACAATGCTAGCTGCTTTCTATACACTCTTTGAGATTATGGTAGAATTCAGGCCCCAGTGCCTAAAGCATTGACTTCTACTATGTACCATTATATAGATCATTCTTTCCTGTGCTTTTCTTCCTGCTCCCAGGATCACTTCTCAAACTGCTATACCCGAGTCCTAATTTCAGCCTCTACTTCTTGTTGGAATCGGGAGTGGCTCTACACAGCACATGCTCTGGATGGGACTCTGGAACTGGGCTGTCCACTCACTGGTCAGAGGGCAATGATGACTGTGTGATAAATGAATGGTAACAACTTTTGACTGACTGTATTCTTACAGTTACTAAGACTCTCCCTTGTACTGGATAGAGATGAGGTTCAGGTGAAAAGGGAAGAGGTGGGTTTTAAAGCAGCTCTGCCCTTTACTGGTACAGGGCAAAAGTATTGTCACATACTGACATGTGCTGTGAAGTTGGCTGCTTTTTGATAATTGCCTTAGAAGCCTTGAAGAAAAAGAATTAGGCTCAGACCAGCCAACTATTTCCTCGGGGCATTCCAGAAAGCCAGACAGGCTTCATGGCAATGTTTAAAGAGACCTATGTCTCTTGTAGACAGAAGGCAAACTGTGTGAAAGTAAAACTCATGCTTCAATCCTAAGGGTGGCTGGGCAACAAAGGAACGTGCAAGTTGGAGAGGTCACTTAGGCTAAACTCAGAGCCATGAAAGGGAAGGAGTCCTGGACCTGGAATAGGGGTATTTGTTGAAAGTACTTTACTTCAAAAATTTGAACCTCCAGGTTTCGCAGAACGTTTCAGGCCACCAGAAGTAGCTCTCTCCTGCTAGAACAGCTGCCCCTTGCAAATCCACTCAGCCGAAGCCAAGGCTTTGCAGGTTAATGCCTGTCCTCCTCAGCATCATCTGCTTCTCTGACCTCTCATTACCTCCAGACCAGTAATTAAGATAAAGTCTGCTCATACATGGTCCCAGAAGGGAAATTCAGTTTCTGTTCTGGGAGGAAACAGACTAAGGTTCATGGACAGACTTGGAGGAGCTGGGTAATACGTACGGGCATGTTCAGGGGAAGGTGTGTAGGAGTGGATCTTGAGGGGTTGGAAGGAGGGACAAATAATAAGGCAAGACAGGAGAGAATTTATTGTCATGGGAGTATTCCCCTTCAAATTGGGATTGAGTATCTTGGCAAGGACACTTTGGAGTAATATGCTGTAAAGATTCTTGTTAGTTTTAATATTAAGATTCTAACTCAAGCTTGTCCAACCAGCTGCCCACAGGCCTCATGTGGCCCAGGATGGCTTTGATTTGCATCCCAACAGAAATTCATAAACTTTATTAAAACAGTGTGAGATTTATTTTGCATTTTTTAAAGATCATCAGCTATTGTTAGTGTTAGTGTATTTTATGTGTGGCTCAAGACAATTCTTCTTCCAATGTGGCTCAGGGAAGCCAAAAGATTGGCCACCCCTGTCTAACTGGTTCACAAGAATCAGTCAAGTATTAGACCATATTTGTGCTCTCTGAGGGATGGGGCATCCTCTGTCCAGCACCCTGAGGTCATAATCAGTCACTGCACCACAGGGCTCACATTAAACGGAGTGAAAGAAAGGATGATGATTTAAGAAGGGTGAATGTGCCAGTTATCATCTGTGTACTGGCCAGACAATCCAAACCCAGTCCCCAGATCTGAGGATCATTATGGGATGCACGTTTTGGCTATGTGCAAGGGTTTGAAGCCTGTACCAAACCAACTGAAATGATATTTAGCAGGAGGATGTACTTTCATAAAGGTATTATTAATTCAGGACGACATATTTACTTGTCAGAGTTGACTATTTCTGTGATGAAGTGAAACGCTTTCCTATGATCTTCCAGTCTTTATATCATCAAAATTACAATACCAGTTAATATGGTATACTCAGAATATTTTAAATAACTTTATTCTTAAATTTAACAAGCTCTTATTAGAAATGCTTTGGTATCAATACGATAAAAAATGCTGGTTTTCCCCCACTGAATCATATCAAGTAACTGGAAAAGTTACACATTTGTTCTCCCCAGCTTTTTGGGAAATTTTCAAAATAATGACTACTACTTATTCACATGGCTTAATATGGTACACTGTAATGATAACTTTTTGGACTTTAGAAAAAATAAACAAAATATCCAGAAGAGAAATTTGCAAATGCTTCTTAGTGTCTTCTCCAAAGATAATGTAGGCGGTACACCTCTTAGATCACTTTTTTCCCCAACTTTGCCATTCTCATTCTTAAAGCTGCAATAAAAGAAAAAAGAGAGTTATAAAAAATCCTCAATTTTTACATTAAATGACCATTCATAGAATGCAGTAAAGTTTAAACATACCTCAGATGGTTTTATCCAACAATGTGAGCATTGATTTAGTAGCACAAAAAGATAGTAGAAATAATAAGCTATGGTTAACTTAGGGCAGAAGCAGGTTCAGAACTAGAAGGAATCTATTTCTACAAAGATTAGAAAAATTACTAGAGCAAACACAGTACAAGTGGAACAAATACAGGATTAGTGCACAATTTCCCTGTTAGCCATATATATATTTCTATAGATTGATGACAGTGTTTTACACACATTTCTGAGCTACATACTGCCAAAATAAAAAGGTGTGGACACTTAAACTCTATTTCATGACTGTGTTTGCTTTTAGCTCATTAAACTTCCTTTCCCAAAGGAGCTCTGGCCTTTGGATATGCAATAAGAAAAACAAATTTCTTTATGAATGAAATAACATGAACCAATAATTAAAAGTTATTATAAAATGTCTGTCAAGATGTAAGTGAGTGATTATAAAATGTCTTTGTCAAGATATAAGTATGCTTTAAAATGGCAAATATGTCTTTTGGGATATATTCTTCTGCTAATAATATATTGAATGTAGAAAGCATTTTTTAAAAATGTAGATTTAGAATGTATAACACTCTTCTGGTATTCTGGACAAGTATGTTGGTATTCTATCCTTATTTAGGATTTCAGTGTATAGCTGCCTTAGTCATGTTCCAAAAGTTTAGAAATGCTTTCAAGGCACTGATCTAAATATTATAATAATGATCTAATATTACATTCACATGTAATATGGCCCAAGAACCAGGGATGTAACTGATTACACAGTTTTGTTTAATTAAAAAATAAAATGGAAGATATGTTTTCTCATTTCTATGCCATATACTGGTTACTCTTTGACAATGGAAATGACCCCATGCCTAAGAAGCCTTTTTGCACAAATATGAGAAGGGATGGGATCTAATTCTGTAACAAAACCATGATCCTTTTAATTGTCATTCCACTTATATGAAATAGTTCCATTTCAATGAAGTTAAAGAGCGTTATTTCCCTGGAAACTGTAAGAGGGATGATCATTTCTAGTGTCAGGGCCAAGAGTATTTGCTAGAATTTAGGATGAGCTGAGAGAACATACTCTGTAGCAAGCAGGTCTCGACTGCTGGGAGAGGCTGTAGTTACATGGCAGAAGGTGAGACTTTAGGAAGTTTCCACTGTTGGATTTTATTGGCCTCTATCTTGCCCCTACCAACAAAAGAGAGTAGGAGTGAGGAGCTTTTTAAGAGTCTCAAGTCAGGGCAGACTGCTTTTTCTTACAGTCACTCCTCACCGTAAAATTCCATAAATCAGGCACATCCTGTGTGCTGTGGACGTTCAGAGAAGTTTGCTAGAGTCGGCTTTCCTTTCTTTCCTTTTTCAAGCCTATGGCAAGTACATGGTGTGTTCCAGTAAATGCACGGGGCCAGGGCATATTGGCAATAGAAGGCTTGGTTTAGCAGCTAAAAACCCTGGGCCATCAGCTCTCATTTTTACTCCTCTTTTCTGCTGTTCTCCGATCCCTGCCTCTTCTTCCCATAGCAATTCAGATGCATGGTTTCAGCTGGCTGAACTTGGTGAAAGTCTCCTTACTCTCAGTATCCCCTGGACCCCAATGGCTGTTGCAGGTTGGCAATCAGCACCAATAGCATGTGAGCTCCCAGAGCTGAGGTCCCCACCACTTCATCCTGGAATGCCACTGACATCTCTAAGAGGACAGAACAGAGCTGGAAGTACAAGAATAGGTTGGTGAGGACTACCAAAGAAAGCCAACTACTACCCCCTGATTGGTGGAGATAGCAGTGAGCTCCCAAGCAAAGCTGGCTGGAGCCATGCAATGGTGGAAGGGTCTGGTGTTGAGCTTTATCTTATGAACCTGTTATATTTACATTGGCAGATGGACATAATGTTGCCTGAATTTTTCTGTCATGTCTTACTCTGTTCAAAATTGTGACTAACAAATCTTGTCTTTAGAATCTCCAGGCTATACCTTTTTCCATTTCTTTCTTCTTCATGCTGTTTTCCAAATTAAAATTTCTCTTAGATAAGGCATTGATAACCATATTTGTACTATGGGAAAAGAGACTAACAATTCTTAACTATTATGCCTACTAGGGCTATTTATCTTAAATAGGTGATGTATACTGCAAATAAAGGAATTGACCTACATGGTGAGTTTTCAAGTATCATAAGCATATTTCTGGGGGAGTTAGGGGAAGCAGCTCAACCCATTTGGTGTTTGTGAAGTTGAAGTGCATCGGTAGTTATGTATTCTATGTATATGTATGGCCCCTGAGGACATATGACACTGTGACTTACTTATTTTAAAAACCCATTTAAAAAATACACATCAGTTCTGTAGTCTGTATGCTGAATTGGAAAACAGCAATGTAAAACAATATCATGGTGGAAGGCAAGGAATTTGGAGCATTCCGTTTGTAAGATACTTTGACTGATAGTACAGAACTCTGTATTGTTACTTTGTCTGGAATAGGTTTTCCTGTTTTCATTGTTTTAGTTCAGGGGCATGATTAGTGTTGTCTGGAAATGTTAGTCACTTCCTGTCAAATTTTCCATGGGGTAAATGTGTTGACAAGGTTAGAGGGGAAGAAATAAGGGTGTTCAGGAGGAGCCGTCTAACATCCTAGTTCAGAAATGGGAGGTTTTATAGTGGATAATGCCACTACTGTTGACCATAAACAGCATGTTCCTCTTTTCTGTCTTCTGTGTTTTTTGGTTTTAAAATGAGTTTAAGATGGCAAAGTTTGATCAGTGAACAAAGCTCTTTCTTAAAATGGAAAGAAACTTAGTATCTGCAACTTTCCATTGTGGAACCTACCACTCAGCTCTGAGGAAGTTATAGACGTGTACACTTTCCAAAAACGTAGAAATTCTTCAGGTAATTAAATGTATCTTTGGGATACCTACTTTAACTACTTAAAATAATGGGAGAGGGTCCATTTTACTGTATTATTGGCAACCTAATATTGGGGTTAATGAGTTGTAGAGGAAGAAATATTACTGAATTATGCAGGTATTATCATACTTCCATACAATTAGCAGGTTCTACTTGTGAAATTAGCCTGTATTTAATAATTATTGCTTTTTAATGAGAATCCTTCCATCAGAGACACTTAAAATTACTATCCCTAGTAGACATATAGAAACCATATGTCTAGGTAATTTGATTTACATCTTTAGCTGAGGTGAGTACAGCTATTATAACTGATTTTGTCAGGTTCTTATTTATTCTTTATACATGATAACTAGAATATAACATTAAAGTGATAACAAGAAATCTAAAATTGGGAAGCTATCACTTTTGTAGGAAAAAAGTGTTAAAAGTTATTTTCTACTCAATGCTAAAATAGCTGGTTGGCTATAAAGCTATAAAAATTTTACAAAGAATGAGAAATGCAAATATATAGAAAATAGAAAAGATAAATATGCTAAGTTGGGGAAGACTGCAAAGTTAAAGGTTATAGAAAAGATAAAGTAAGGTTCTACTTTAAAATGTAGAAAAATTAGGGAAATAAAACTAATGAAACTATAGAAGTGTAGAGAAACAAGATACAGAAAAGTAATAAAATGCTCTGAAAATAAAATTTGTTTCTTGTATTTTGTTTCAAAATTAAGGCAACTTGTTAACTTACATAAGAAGTTTAAATCACCGTGAGGCACAAATAAAGTAGTCATCAGATTCTAGTGGGAAAAGATATGTAATTGACGATTCAACATATTAGTGACCCAAATACACTCACAAGCAGCACCATACCCTGATACAAGATGAAATTCAAGTTATTAAAGTTCATCAATAAAATATCAAATAAGGCAATGATCTATTTTTACTTTCTTTATCTTTTGAAGTGACTAAATCACTTTACTGGGGTGACAATAATTCCTATTAGCATTAATAAAAAAACTCAGTGCCTATTAGTTTTATGAGGTGGTCCAAGAAGCCTGAAAGCAAGACTGTGTTAGCACAGGAGAAGTGGGTCACATGGCTGAACAGCAGCGGCATGCCTTGTCGTTTTTATTACCTGTTAAGGATGGATCCTCAGTACCATCTCCGGTTGTCTGAACATCAAATGGGGAATGGTGGACAGGACCGCCTAAGCTTTCTTCTTGCTCTTTCAGAGAGATGGAATTTTTGTGGGGAGATTTATGATTTGTGTTTTCATGAGGACTAGCGTCTAATCTTTTTCTAGGAAGTGGTGTTGGTTTGGCTGGCTGGTACACCTGACTATGAGGAGCTATGGGATGGTAGGATGGTTTCTCAGCTTCTCCTTCATCCTCCTCCTCCTCCTTCTCCTCCTCCTCCTCATCATCAATCACAACCAGCTCGGCATGGATGATCCCATCATATCCTGTCAGAAGCTTCTTGTTTTCTTCATTGTCTTCTGCCTGCTGATACCCCATGAATATCATTGTCACTGGTTCTGCATCATTTATGTCAGGAGGCAGGGAATGAACGATATTATATCTGATATCTTCCTCCTCCTCCTGACAAGTGGGTGAAGAATTCTTGTGTTCAGATTTCCCAAATATTGTCTCTCTGGGGCTCAGCCTTGCCTTTGGAGAGGGTGCCTTTTTGTCCTGCATGACATTTGATTCTTCGCAAGGAGTCATCAGCCTCTTTTGTGGGGTGTGTACTGTTTCTTCTGCCTTTTGAATCACTGATCGGGGGTGAGGTACTGGCCAGATGGGGCTGATATGATTGAAGCTGTTGCCCCTTTCCTTGGAAAGTCCATCGTCCATATTGTATATGGATTCGTTTACATCAATGCCCAGTCCATTAGTTTTAATCTTTATCCTTTCTTGAAAGTTTGGTCCAGGGGTCATTGTTTCTCTCTGTGGGGTTGTAGGCCTATAAAAAGGATTGGCATATACAGGCTCATGATACTCTGTTGGGGATTTAGAGTTTCTCTCTGAGGCTTGTCTCAGAAGTTCCTCTACTTCAACTGGTGCCAGGCCATCGGTGCCATTGTATGCTGCACTGTGATTAGAACTTACTGCATATACTGACTTTTGCCCATCGTCATACACTTTTATTCCTGTGCCTTTAAAGTCATCTGATGGCAGAGGTATTGAAGACAGAACTGTACTTTCTCCAGTCTTCAAGTCTTTTTCAACTTTAATTTCCATGGCATATAAAGCTGTTAAGAAAGAAATTTGATCGTTGATTTAGTTAACTTTTCTTTTATAAACTCATCTGCTTTCACAGTGTTTATTTTTATATTAAGTATACCCTTTGTGTTCTTTTATGTAAGATGTTGTCTATTTTTAAAATTTCTGACTTTACTCATTAACGGTATAATGATTAAATGTAATAACATGAGTTTTTGTGTAATGGTGAATGGAATTATTACTGAAAAACAGAAAATGTGGAAGCAGAGAAGTTGATTAGAGAAGATAAGCTGATGGTTCCACATAGTAAAGATTTCACTGGGGAGTCAAAAGATAACCTCATTCCTATTAATAAAGTCAATGAGACAGATGTATTTTCTTTTGCATTTCTCAACGGGCAGAATCACTCTCTTCTTTTGTCAAGAAGAATGTGTTGCACTATGCATCACAGTGAGTAAAGTGCCTAGCACAGTGTATTTTGTAAAGTTACATCCTTACTGTACAGGCCAGCAGCCTGGTGAAATTGCAGAGGCGTGTTCTAAAGTTTTCACAATGGAGAGGCCGTTTAAACGTACAACTGGGATGGAAAAGGGAGGAAGAAAACTAGAATCATACGCTTCTCTTCCTGCCTTCTGTTTCTTTTCATTTCCACTCCCATTTTCAAGTAGAGGAAGGGCTAAACGTAGAGCAGTATCAGCTGCACTGAAACAAATGGACTGGAGAGAACTGGGGAAGCTGAGATTTGCTTCATGACCCGGGTAAGATCCCTATGGCTGGAATTTCAACTGGAAAAGTAAAGAAAACAGGATTCTGTGCGAAATTACAGTGTGACAATGCTTGCTTTTGTTGTGTCCCCCCACCTTTCTTTTTGAACGCATTTTGTATTTCTCACCTCCTCTATAGCCTCGTGGTTCCTGGCCTTTCTTGACTGCCCAAGAAAAACTGCAACACCCTCATCTGCACTCTCTCTGTCCAGCTTCTCTGCTTTATTCTCTGCATTGCACTTCCTGCCATGAAATATTTAGTGAATGCCTACTATGTGCCTAGCTGAACTTGGCACATAGTAGGCATTCACTAAATATTTGTAGATAGCAGTCATTAATTCATTCATTTATTCATTCATTTGTTGAATGAATAAATGACTGCTATCTGCAAATAAAGAATAGCTTTTCCTTCCACTCTAAAATTCAAAGGTTTCCTTTCTGTCCTCATACAAGCCTTCATTTTTCCAGAAGCTTTGAAACATTAGTTTTATGTAAGTCAGTCTCCCATGGAGGTAAATAAGGCCTGAACTTCCTGAAGGAATAATTTCATTTTCAAAAAAGACTCTTAGTAACCCCCAAGGAGTTTCTATTGGGTGGAATATATCAGGAGAAACATTTTTTGACCAGGGAAGCTTTACTTTCAAGAACTTCTCGTCTCCTTCAGGTCTTTATCTCTTTATCCCTGTCTGGTTTGTTAGGGAATAAAACGCACGGAATAAATGCTATTAATATACCCTCATTATCCTCACCTATGCAGTGACTCAGATACCTCATGGGACTTTGTAAAATGGACCATTGCTTAACGTGAAAGAATAAGCAAAGAATAATTGTCATAGCAAGTTGTGAATATGCAACATTGTAAAATCTGAAATTAAGAACATGCCCTGAACACCAATTTCTCATATACCTTTCCTATTTTGTTCATCATCTTCTATTTCTTCATTTATTTCCTTCCTTAACCTAGAAGGTACATAGGACTTTGGAAGGTCAGGGATATTAGCATAGATGTCCTCAATTGACTCTGTAAAATTAATATGAATTCAAAATACATTTAGAATATATTTATAACAATGGGAAAAATTTCAAATTACCAAAAAACTTAAACATAAAGTAAGTTATTCAAAAACATACCTTCTGATCTTTCTTTCTTTTCCACCTTCACAGACTATAAGAAAAAAGAATTCTCCATGATTAATACAGTTTAAAAAATGGAATCTAAATGTGGATATGCTTTGAAAAATTATATAGAATTTGTTGATTCATTTCTGAGAGAATTACAGTTTTAAAATTGGGTAACGCTCACTCTTATTATGTCTTCTGTGGTCCGCTCAATTGACTTTAGTTTCTTTAAAATGGCCTCTTCCTTCGTTGAAATTTGCAGTTCAGCTTTTTCAAGATCTTGGATCTCTTTCTCAAGCCTGACAACAAAAAGATACGCTTTTTTTTTTTTTTTTTTTTTTTTGCTTAACATAGCACAAATGCAGAGTTCTCAAATATATCTTCCCCATATATGAACTTTTCTTGGAATATGCATGTAACTAGCCAGACACCTTCTAAGAATATAATGTCACACTTAGCATCACACCACGCATCATACTTAATACATAGAAGATACCTAACGTGCGACTTTGAACAATTTCCAAGTTTTCTTTTTTTGACAAAGGAACATATTTAGTAAAGCACTTGACCTTTGCTCTATTTTCTTCATTGTAATTATAATGTTATTTCCAAATAAAAGAGATTTTTAAATACAGAGACATAAGTTTAAAGATGTACTGAAAGGAATGGTATATTTGTAGTTATTACATAGTTCACCAGTTTTTCATATCCAAGTCACCATATAAATTATTTGGAGAAAACACTATTAAACTGACTTAATAGTCATAGCCATTTAATACTTAAAATTCTTGCATATTCTGTCATTGAAAATGACACTTTCATTTAATTTCAGTTTCCTAAGAGTTTGGCCATATTATAGTGAGTAGGGTAAAGAGATACGGAAATGGACCAAATCTAGGCACAGTAGCTTCAACTGCTGCTGTTTCTAGAGACTACTTTTTCTGGGGGGAAAAACAGGCACACATAACCTGACACAGTATAAGTAACTTACAATGACAAAGAGACAGACATTTGAAATTGGACGGTTGCAAGCATTCTGAGCTGATATCTCGGTCAGCATACAGCTGCATGTCAGATTCAAATAAACTCCAGGGGGCAGCATCGTGACCTCTACTCTATAAAAACATACAGCCACTGGCAATTAAGCATGAAGGCTGGCCCTTGGCAGCCACATAACACACAGTTTCTCAGCCAAATACACTAAGGCTCTAAAGTCCGCTGCCTCAGAGGATGGCTGATTAGATTCAACAGCTGGTCCAGGAGATGACAGCTGTGGATATTCGTGTCAGCTAAGAGAACTGTCAGTTTTCTTGGCTTTCTTCTTGAAGATGGTCATGGGCCTGGCAGCTCAAAAACGCTGTGCTATTGTCACACCAATAAAAGCCCAAGAGCTGGTCAGCTTGCCAGCTCTTTGCTCATTGCTTCAGTTTCAAAGTTCTTACTTTGCTGCTGCCTCTGGCCATTGGTAGATTGCCATTTATAACTGACGAGGTTTTGTTGCATACCACAGAACTTTAAGTGAAATAAATGGGTAACCTCTGGTTTTTTAGAAGTTATTTAGCTGTGACTGCCATTTTATTGAAATTCCTCCACATCCATGGCAGCACGTCTACCCTTCAGCAGAGCTGTGGGGATATATGTTGGTCCAGTTTGTTAAAGGGGAAAGCTCTGCACTGAAAGTGATAAATCTGGTGCGGTCCTGTCACTGCTACTCACTTCTTATAAAAGCCAATTCTTTTAACCTCTCTGAAATTCATTTTTTACCCTGTACAGATATTTGGTGACACTAAGAGATGATGTATTTGAAAGCATGTTGAATACGGTTAATATCAGATGCAAGTTTGTTGTATAATTTTTAAAGGTTTTCTGCAACACACTGTATATCATTCCCACAGTGTCCTTACCTAATTTGCCTCTTAGAGACAGTCTACAAAGGGAAGCCTTTTGGAAGAAGACAGGAAGGTTCAAATCATTGCTGCAAGCAGCTCTTGGACATCAAAACCTAACTGTGGAATCTGGTGGACCTGGGTTTGAATCCTGGCTCATCTGCCAGTTTCCTGTGTGACCTTGGACAAGTCACCTGACCTCACAAGACTCAGCACTGGGCCGGGCAAGGTGGCTTATGCCTATAATCCCAGCACTTTAGGAAGCTGATGCAGGAAGATTGCTTGAGCCCAGGAGTTAGAGACGAGCCTGGGCAACATAGTGAGACCTCAGTCCCTACAAATAACAAAAACATTAGCTGGTCCTGCATCTGTGGTCCCAGCTACATGGGAGGCTGAGGTGGGAGGATTGTTTGAGCCTGAGCAGTTGAGCTTGCAGTGAGCCATGATCACACCATTGCACTCCAGCCTGGGCAACAGAGTGAGATCTAGTCTCAAAACAAAACAAAACAAAACAAAACTTGTTGTCTTTATTCATTCATTCTCTTTAAAATATTTACTTAGCATCTACTTTGAACCAGGCACTCTTCTATATGCTGGGGATCTTACTTACAGTGACCAAAACAAAGTCCCTGCATTCAAGGAGTTTACATTCTAGTGGGAGACAATACAGGAGCTGGCAACCTTTTTCTATAAGGAGCCAGATGCTAAATATTTTAGGTTTTGCCGTCCACATATGCTTTCTGTTGCATATTCATCTTTTTTCCCATGTTTCTTTTGTAACCTTTTAATAATATAAAAACATTTTTTAGCTGTGTCTGTACAAAATCAGGCCAGGGCTAGATTTGGTCCTGGGCCATAGTTTGCCAACCCCTGCATTAATAAATGTGTAATACAATATGTATACTGCAGACACATGCACATACATAAGCATGTATTGCAGACACACATGTATATCTATATATATAGATATACACACACATTTATGAAGAAAAAACATTTTTGATGAAAAAAGCAGGATAGGGGCTGTAAACAGCAGGCTAAGCGTATAGAGAAAGACTGGGAAGGAGGCACTATTTACAGTGTGGTGAGGAAAATTCTCTCTGATAAAGTGTCATTTGAGCAGAGACAGGAAGGAAGTGAGAGCAGGAGACATGAGAGTTTCAAGGGGAGTGTGCTCCAGAGAGATGGAAGAGTAACTACAAAGCTCGGAGGAAGAGCTGATAGAGTAGAAAGGTGAAATGAAGTCAGAGAGGAGGGACGTGGCCAGATATACATGGCCTTGCACATGAAAGCCTTTTGGGAAGCCATGAGAATTTTGAACAGAGACAAAACATGCTATGACTTGAAATGTAAACAGTTACACTGGCTGCTGTGTAAAGACTAGACCGGATGGAGCAAACATGGAGGTCAGTTGTCCAAAAAATGTAGATGAATATGGCATAGTCCGGATGTTGGTTGCCAGTAGAAGGGCGAGAAGTGGTTGGATTATGTAAATATTTGAGAGAAAGAGCTGCCAGAATTTGTTGATGATTACATGCAGGGGGTAAGAGAAACGGAGATGTCAAGGTGATTCCCATGTTTGTGACCTGAGTAATTGGAAACATGCAAATACAGTTGGCCGAACAGAAATCTGGGAGACAGAACAAAGGGCATTTATGGGGGATGTGTTAAATTTGAGACCATCACGTGTGATATGGATTGGATACACAAGACTGGAGCTCAGAGAAATCTGGGTTTAAAGATATACATTTGGGAGTTGGTATTTATACATTTGGGAGTTGGTATTTATAACTTTCCTAGAAAGTGAGGGAGATAAGAATTCCAAGGACTGAATCTGGGGCAATGAAACATTTAGAGGTCTGGCCAATGTTAACAACTTCATAGGGTTTTCTTTTCTTTCTTTCTTTCTTTCTTTTTTGGAGATGGAGTTCTCTCTCTGTCACTCAGGATGGAGTGCCAGGGTGCAATCTCAGCTCACTACAACCTCTGCCTCCTGGGTTCAAACAATTCTTCTCACTCAGTCTCCTGAGTAGCTGGGACCATAGGATTGCACCACCACACTCGGCTAATTTTGTACTTTTAGTAGAGAGATGGGGTTTCACCACGTTGGCCAGGCTGGTCTCAAACTCTTCACCTCAAGTGATCCACCTGCCTCTACTCCCCAAAGTGCTGGGATTACAGGCATGAGCTACTACTCCCAATGACTTCAGCTAGTTTCTTCCTGTCTCTGTCCCTTTCTGTTCCTGGGGCACAGAGACAAAGCTCTTGGTTTGCTTGGCCATTGACATTTTAGGGAATTTTGAAACGCTCTGGTGTTTTTTGTTGTTTCTCTCTGAAGATAAAGCCATGGGTAATGTAATGCCTTATGATTTGTCTTGAGAATCTCTTTAGACTAATATGGTAAGAATATGAGGCTGAAAACCTGCAAACCTCATCAGCATATCTGCTAGTGAATGTTTTTTGAAGGTTTTCAAGTCACTGGGTGAAAGTTGCATTAATAAGTGGCTGTGGTCTCACAATACAACATGACATGTTTGTGAAAACTAAACATGAATAAACACCTCCCTCCCATTCTTAATCACTTAGTCACAGCCAACTCTGAGTTAAAAAGGATAACTAGGAAGCATCTTGGTACTAATTACTTAGAATCACAAACCTCTGACAGGAGATGCCTACTGATGTAGAACATTTCTTAAAATTTGCAGCTCAATGCAAAACTTGATTTCTTATTTTTGTGTGTTGATTTGATACTTCTAATATTTATGGACAATATAAATATCAGATGAATGTTAGAGATTTGCTGCTCTAGAAAAGCTTTCCGAAGGATCAGAATGCCAACGGAAATGATGAGAGACTTAGAAAGTATAACTGAGAGTAAGGAATTGGATGCTGCCAAAACCCTCCAACCCCCTCCATTTGGCCAGAAGTCAGCGGTAGCCCAGCAATAGAGAAGAGGAGGTTTGACAACCCCTACACCAGATAATACACTGAATATTTGAGCACTGACTGTCCTTAAGGAGCATAAAACAGAAATTGCCACTACTAGGCAGGGCAATTTTTGTATATCCAGCACAGGGGTTCATAACCAGAGGTGATTTTGCTCCTTGGGGATATTTGGCAAAGTCTGGAGACATTTTTGCCTCTCATCACTTGGCAGGGGGAGAAGGGGGTGCTGCTGACAGCTAGTGGGTAGAGGCCAGGGATGGTGCTAAATGTCTTGTCATGCCCAGAACAGTTTACTCACAGCAAAGAATTATTTAGTCCAAAGTGTAGATAATGCTGGGATTAAGGAACCCTGGATACCTAAAAGAATACCTGGTATCTGAGCACAATGGCTCATCCCTGTAATCCCAGCACTTTGGGAGGCCGAGGTGAGCGGATCACGAGGTCAAGAGTTTGAGACTGGCCTGACC